AGGCATCATTCATTCATCTCAGTACTGTCACAGGGACAAAGCAGAAGATAATATAGTGAGGTCAAGGTGAATCGTTCATTTACACGGGTCTGAAAACCATAAAACTCTAGAAACATTACTGACGTGTATTTTATTGTGTGCATGTTATTTTGAGAAGTTGTCGTTGTTTGGAGCCCCTACAGGTTATGTGTTTTCAGTTGGTCTCATTGAACTGATGCAGATTTTACACTCTGATGCAAATGAAAATACAGTTAATAACCGGGGGAGATACACACAGTAATTACTCCATGTAATCACATTTCTCTGAGTAACTGCCAAGGCCGTAACTGAGGGGTCTGGTCTGGCATCCCATCCCCTGATAAAAGTAACGTGCCCCCCCCCCCCAATATATATTGTAATTACTACATTTCTGAAATGGCTTGATGGCTAAAATATATATTTAATTTAATTTTACTTTATTTAAGTTTAGTTTATTTTAGTTCATTTAATTATTTTATTTATTTTAATTTAATTATTTTATTTATTTGATTTTATTTTAGTTTATTTTAATTCATTTAATTATTTGATTTTATTTTACTTTAGTTTATTTCATTTTAGTTCATTTAATTATTTTATTTAGTTTATTTCATTTTAGTTCATTTAATTATTTTATTTATTTAATTTAATTTAATTTTATTTTAATTCATTTAATTATTTTATTTCATTTTACTTTAGTTTATTTCATTTATTTCTTTTATTTTAGTTTATTTTAGTTCATTTAATTATTTTATTTAAGTCTATTTTAGTTTATATTAGTTCACTTAATTATTTTATTTTATTTCTTTTATTTTAGTTTATTTTAGTTAATTAATTTTTTTTTTCAAATGTTATTTAAATCTATTTTATTTTATTTATTCATTTATTTATTTATTTACTTGGAGAAATTAACAGTGCATTGGAAAGAACCAGGCATGGAAACAAACCGTTAGTTGACATGTGCAAATGTTTAGTGGCTTTCACATTCTCTTACCTGCAGCACAAAACCATGAGCTTGCTCTGGCATGTTTAAAACTTTTTGTTTTGTTTTGTTTTTAGGAAAAACAGTATAATGAGAAACAGTGGTTAAAAACTGTGGGAGAGAAAAAGTTGACATTTTACTGGCTGAGATGTTTTGGTGTTCCTTTATGTGAACACTGTGTTCATGGTGATGTAGTAGTACTGAGGTGGGTAATACCACTGTATGTATAAACCAAAGCAAAGTTGAGAAACACAATAAAGCTCTAAACTACATCAACTTTCGTGGTCAGAAGTCCACCAGAACCCTAATTATCCCCGTTTCTTCATAATCCTCCACAGCAACAGTATTGATTGTGTCTTTTCTGGAGGACGTGATGGCGAGCGTGCAGACTGGCTGCAATTCAGAGAGTTCATACAAGTACAAGCAGCAGGGATTTTAAAGCCAAAACTGCACGCATCTTTACTCAGACATCACCATGTGTTCACGTTTCATGTTAATGTTTGTGGCCCCTCTCCGTGATCCATCACCCAGCAAGATGTTCCGTGTTCTGGTACTTGGTCGTCTTAAGAAGATCGCAGGCGATTGCGTGATCAAATCGGCCCCAGAAGCTTTACAGATGAGCGGAGGAACAAAGACAGATTCTGATTGTATGTTGCTTTTGTAAAATGCAAAATGAACTGTAGGTAGTAAGATCACTTTGCAACTGACCACAAATACTTTGCTGAATACTTACTGATAAAACTTGTCTGTTGACTGTATAGCTCAGACTTTTGGGTTTCTTGATAAGGAGACAGGATCAGAGGATGGCTCTGTTGGAAAAAAATACCTAATTATATCTCTATAATCAGTTTGGAGCCCTCATCATGCTACTGGAAATAGAGAACAGATAATACAAAATTCAACTTGATAAGTGTCTAATTACTGGGTTTATGGGAATGTTGGGACCCAAAATGGGTTCACAGGCTTCACTCATAATGACCCCAGTATGAATTTATGTTTTCTTGGTGATCCTGTGTGTTATACATCAGTAAAGGCACTTTAAATGCATTTATTTTCTATTTTATAATGTATTATAAAAATGAAGGAATGGAAGGTAAATCAAAGGGAGCTATAATGGACCACCTTTAAACCAGAAGTTTCATCAATAGTATAGCAGCGATCTTCAAACAGAGTTTGTCCATAGAATAAAAATACATTTAAAATGTCGGAGAAAGTACTTGTACAAATAAAAAGTGAAAGCAATCATATAAATATATAATATAAGAATTACAATGAACAGGCTACATACATAAGTTTTCAGTTCAGTACTAACTGGTTTCTGTGGTATTATCCATAAACCAACAGTTTTTGATTCTGTGGAATTTTTGTCTCTTTGTATGTTTATTTAAGTAAATTTATTTCTAAGAACCCTTTATAAAGCAACCTGTCGTGATGACGTATGAGGTCACGTTACGTTATTGAAGAAGGCATTATGAGTCTGAACAGATACACATCCTCACCATAAGGCTTATCCCATCTGTATTGAGCAGGAAGCCTAATCAATATGGCTGGGTATAGCCGATGTCCAGGATAATAGGTGCATTATCTGAAGCAGATCGTGCAATGTGGCGCTTAGTGTGTCACTCGTGTGTAAGGAAAAAATATTGATTTTCAAACAAAATTACAACCATTCTTATTTTAGGCTGACAAAGCTTTTATTTTGAAAGATTTCACCATCAAAAGTACAAAATGTGATGAATGGAACAGTCCATTACTTCAATATATATTTTTAAAAATAGAAACGAATTAACATTAGTATTTTTTGCAAGCATCTTTTATTGAAATCTTTAAAATAAAAGTAGTATTTAATTGAATTAATTAATTACAGCATTAGCATGTATATTTAATGTATATACATGTTTTTACATCTACCTTACAAGCAATACAGGTAATTAAAATTATAGTTCATTCTCCCAGTATGCCCAGTAATATAAATTAAGTTTTGGTTTTCATTATTTCATTTTTAAAAAGTGTTAATTTTTCTCAGTAATTTTACGTTAAAATACTGTGCTCAGTGTTTGCATTCTTTCTGTTAGCTTGTGGTACAGGGCTTAAATACAAGTTAGGGTCTTAATGGTGAAAAGTCCGGGTTATGTGTATAAAATACAAAACCCCTCTTAAAATCTTCTTAGGGTCATAAAGTTCAGTAAATAGTTGGCAGGAATAATGATGTGGCACTGACCTAAGCGAGCTTGTTTACAGATTCTGTTTAAAATACCCACAGGATAAGTAAAGGGGTTAATACACAAAGGTTAAAGGTTAAGGGGTTAGGAAAGGTATCAGGACGATGAGAACGACTAATTCTTCCATGATATGAGTACCCTCGTCAAAAAGGTTTTCAAAGAGATAGGTTCAAGATTTCTTGGAACTTTTCTTTGCTTTCTTTGGGACTGTTTTTTTAGATGTAGGTGCAACACGCGAGGTCTTAATCTGTGACATCGCCACTGTCTGTGGCACATTGAGGATTTGTGGAGTGTAAGATTAGAGCTCTACGTCGTCATAAATCTCTGCTTCCCAATTTGGCCGTGTTGTGGCGGGTGGGGCAGTTGCTAGGTGCAGTCTGTGGTCTGTGGACTTGGTGGATGACACGTTTGTGCGTCTACGTAGGGTCAACCTCTGAGGTTTTTTTCCAGACCAGGAAACTTTTATCTGCCACACTCACATGGCTTGATGCTCCTTCTTGGACCTGGCTTTGTTTTTTTTAGAACCTGCTAAGATTCTCTTTCTAGAGAACAGATAGCTCGACTTGACCCAGAACTTTTTATGGTGCTCTGCTGTGGCTCTCCATGATGAACTACTGCATACCAGACATGTACGAGATGCCTCACACCGGGGTGGGAGGCTACACGGTGCAGGGTGGTGGGGAACACTGCATGTACCCAGGTGAGGGACCCGGGTACGGACACTGTGAACCCCAGCGGCTGCATCATCCACCCTGCATGGAGCAGGCTTGGCCGCCCAGTCAGCACTATTCTTGCTCGTACGCCGGCGGGCCTCCTGTTTTTAAGAGCGAGTTTTGCAGCATGGAGATCCCTCTTAGTCATTACCACCATCAGCCTGAATATTTCCCTGAGATCAAACCTGAGTTCTCACACCTGCAGTGGATGCAGGGGTCACACAAGAAAGGTATGACGTCTGGATTGTGATTGCTTACATGTTCTTGGTCAGAGAGTATTTCTGGGACTCGTTCAGGTTTTGAATAGTTGTTTTGTGGTTGTGTGTGAAGTATATGTTTTTGGTAATTAGTTATGACGTCCTTGATCAATGGATTTAAGTCTGATAAGCATAAATCCAAGATTTAAGGCGTCACGCGGTGGCAGGTCTGTGATGCTCAGAGCGTTTGAGGCGTGCGGGGGTTCCTTATTGATTGATGGTGAGGCAACAGAAGGCCGAAGCAAGATGTATTATTGCTTTCTTAACAAACCCCAAAAAAGGTATTGATCAGTTTGTTAACCTTCGGTCCTGGAGTCTGCCAGGGGTCAGAGCACTGAACTCATTAAGCCAAATCCCAAAATTGGCCCAGGTGTTAACTCAGCGAGTTAACTAGAAGTAGAAGTCGGTGCTAATCAAATATTAGGTGTCGCACTGCTGGACACTTGAGAGTCAGCCTACCTTTAGCTGTCCTTGCGTGACTCTTTGAAGCCATGTTATTACGTCACCAGTTCGCACCTACATGTTACAAATGGACACAAAGGGACAGCTGATATACTGTGTATTCAACATATGGATAGCGTCTCTTTGATACCCAGTGGTTTGCGCAAATTTCCGTTTCACAGGGAAGCAAAAAACATTCAGAATAAAACATAAAAATGTGATGTCATTAAGATGAAAGTTAATTTTAGGTCAACATCAACCAAAATCCAGTTGAATAAAACCACAGCAGTCATGAAAATATTTTAAAATACAAATCCATCCATTTTTCCCTCAATAAAACCTGATATTAACCATGTGTCCTTCTCTCCAGGGTACATTCCAAGTTACCTGGACAAGGATGAGCTATGTGTAGTGTGCGGGGACAAAGCCACAGGCTATCACTATCGCTGCATTACCTGTGAAGGGTGCAAGGTAACACAAGCAAGCCTTGTTTTATTTTTGCAGCTAACTTTTAACATTTTAATAAGACTATACTGAGCACATGCCTCTCTGCTCTCAAGGGCTTCTTCAGGCGAACCATCCAGAAGAACCTCAACCCGACCTACGCTTGTAAGTACGAGGGGAAATGTGTCATCGACAAAGTGACCAGGAACCAGTGCCAGGAATGTCGCTTCAAGAAGTGCATTGTGGTGGGAATGGCAACCGACTGTAAGTTTTACAGGCCCAGACAGCCTCATGTCTTGTTTCTGTTAATGTGTAAATCAGAGCTGAAATTAGCTGGTTAATCTATTAGTTGATCAGCACACAATTCATTCATTCAAATATTTGCTGGCTCCAGCTTGTCAGACTTGAAGGTTTGATGTTTTTCTCTGTCTACTGTAGTAAACTGGATGTCTTTGGACAGTGATGGGCATTTGTCACTATTTTCTGACATTTTATTGACAGAAAAATTACCTGATCAATTAAGGGAATAACTGGCAGATGAATCAATAACGACAATAGTCAGTGCAGCCCTTGTTCAAATTCATGACCAGTGGTGAGGACCATTGTGCTACAGAAGTGGTTTAAGAAGTCTTTATGGGCATCTTGATAATTGCCTCATCATAAAGAAAATATATAATCATAAATAAAATGAATCAGAATACAGCAGCTTTTCTTTCTGTTGAATGAATTGCATGATAGTTAAGTGTAATGACTGTTGGGTGAGTGCACACTGCTTACCCTAGATCTCCAGCTCTAATAGCATCAAGGTTGTGCAGTTTCTGTACTGAATATGAGGGTTGTGAGGCAAGGTCTGAGTTTGGCATTTTGGCTGTGGCCATCTTGGATTTCTGATTTCTATTGAGACAAGACATTGGAGAGATCCCTAATGATAGCTGCTAGCTTGGTTAGCACAGTGTATTTACAGCTATGGTTAATTGTGACAATGCTAATGCTAAAAAACAGGTTTAAAACCAGTGAAACAAAATGTATTTACCAAAAAAAAAATTGAACTGAAACATTATCCTTTCATGAGCTAACACCCTACTGCAAGCGACAGCTACTCCTATACTCGGTAAATCTCAGAGCCATTCACTAACCAATGTTATTATGGTAGCGACTTGGCAATGGACGGCACCTCCATGTCATTCAAAGCAGCCACGTCTGTTTGGGACATGAGTTATTTAAAAACTTACCGTGCGTACAGTCGTCACGAAAAAGAGAAATTAGATAAAGAGACCCAAACTGTTTTTTGTTCCAGTCTGTAAACATGTTTATTTCAGCTGTAAAGTTGAGTATTTTAACATGAAGGACTATCGGGATTGACTCACTCTTAGAGCCAGCCCCAAGTGGCCATTAGAGGAACTGCAAAAACAGTTTAAAGTCTCTGAGACGGAAGTAAAGAGCTACTTGTGACTATTGTGTACATGATGTTGTTCACTGAATATTATGCTATTACACTTCAAGAGTACCACATAAAGTGCTACCTTGATTGAATGTAATCTTGTGTTTGTTAGTTAATGTCTGTCCGGTTTAAGTTTGTAATTCAAGCAGTACTTTCAAGTGTGTCACCAATTCATCAGTTCATACTCTCCCCTCCTCCTCCTCCTCCTCCTCCTCCTCCTCCTCCTCCCGTCCCCTCTCATTGTCTCCCTTCTTCTTCCTTTGCCTCTGCCCCCTCCTCTTCTCCCAGTGGTGTTGGACGACAGCAAGAGGCTGGCCAAGCGGAAACTAATCGAGGAGAACCGGGAGCGCCGTCGGAAGGAGGAACTGCAAAAGACAGTGTGGGACCGACAGGAGCCCACCCAGGAGGAGTGGGACCTGATCCGTATGGTGACTGAGGCCCATATGGCCACAAACGCACAGGGCAACCACTGGAAGCAGAAGCGGAAATTCCTGGTGAGACATCCTCCCTCCCTCCTCACCACAGCCTTCATCGTATTGATTACCCAACCACCCCTGCCCCCCCCACCCCTCACATCCCCCTTCCACCCCCACCCTTTCCACATCACGCCCCTGTCTCCTCAACTTCCACCACAGCCACTGTTCCTCTGTTCCCTGTGTTAATATGTCCATGTGTTTTTTTGTATCTCCTTGTAGAGTGGGGAGAATTAGCTGGACGATGGTGAAAAGTGTGTTCCTCAACGCAGCAGCACTAATTTATAATGGAACATCTTATTCTTGTCTGTTTTTTGTGCAATGATCTTTAATCGCTAATACTAATAACTTGCTTTTTTTGTGCTGTTTCATTTCTCTCTCTTTCTGTTTGTAGCTTTTGATTTTATACCTCACCCCTTTTTTGACTAATTTTGATTTTCTTTTCTGTAAAGTCTAATCGCTCTCTGCAGATTGAAAGTCCGTCCCAGCTGTTGACTTTATTTGGGGTTTCTATGGCATGATCAGAAGGAAGCATGAAACTGAATTGAAATGCGGGGTTTGTAGCCGGCCGGTGTAATAGCAGGCGTGTATTAAGGCGTTTGTGTACATTTTTCAAGGACTCAGTAAATTTGATTAATAATTTTTTGCGTGAAAGTCAATTTCCATGTGTCATGGACATAACAGAAGTCACTTATGCGCTAAACTCAAGAAAAATTAATTCGGGAACGTTTCATAAAAATTTGTAAAAGATTGACGAAAGTCGTATGAATGGTTTTGTTTCAGTTGTCGTCCGTTGTTCATGACAAAATAATACATTTCCGTGTCGTCGAGTGCTTCTGCGGACCTGTTTGAAGCCGTGGTCCTGAGCCTGATCTCACCATAGAAACCCATCTTGGATTTCTGTCCTCACCTGTTTTCTATCTGCACACTCTTTCATCTGTCCTCAGTTTTAACTTGTTTTCTTTTTAGTTGGCTTGACACGGGTTCTTCATTGAAACTTCACGATTCCTGTTGATTATCCAACAGGTCGAGGAAGCTATGCTTCTTAATGAAATAACATGTAATTTATTCTATACTTCTGACCAGAGTGCAGCGGGGGTGAAGGAAACTAAGGTAAGGACAACAAATATTAAAGTGATGTACTGCCTTTTCAACATGTGCTTGATGCAGTTTACATTTACATGCGTTACACATTTGATGAAGTGCAGTAGACATATGAGTGCTACATGTCTGTAGTGATGTGTCCCCATTCACATCTTTACATCGTATTGGCCAGGCGAATTATTGTCAGCTCAAGAGTCAACCACTTCACTGCTTTCTAGTTCTTCCATTATCGTATTCAACCATGAACGCTTTACACACTTCATTTTAACCTTGAACTCGTTTCATAATGTAATGCTAAGTTTAATACTGTTCTCATAGTACAATAAAATTTACATGCTGTTTTAATTTTTTATGTAAGCTTTGGGACACTTTGGGCATCGACCTTCTCTCTTTTGTGTTTCAGCCTGAGGAAATTGGTCAAGCGTCCATGGTCAATACGCCTGAAGGAAACAAAGTGGATATAGAAGCCTTCAGTCAGTTTACAAAAATTATCACCCCTGCCATAACCCGAGTGGTGGACTTTGCCAAAAAACTGCCTATGTTTTGTGAGGTGAGTGACAAAGTTTAGTGAAATGTAGACAGAGAATAAAGAGGTCACAACACTCCCTCTGGCGGCGGCGGCGGCAGTGCAGGTCAAGCTGTTGACACCTGAGTTTCTAATTCTGCAGTCACGTTACAGTGGATTTACAGTAAAGCCACAAATGTTCTTGGCTGGAGTTCATCACATATACATTGGAAATAGTGTGAATGTCAGCCAACAAGACTAGGACAAAACCTATTGTATGGCTGGAGCGAATGAAACGCTGGAGGGCTTTTAATTTGAAAGAGGAAGTGGCTGCATTCAAGTAGTCATTGACTTTACCTTGCTGTTACACAGTCACACAGCAGGAGAGACCTGTTTTCTCTGGAGCTATACACACTGATGACTTAACACAACCCTCCAAAGGCTCTTCAGCTCCAGTCAGTGATGTACGTACGTTGTGCAGCCATCGGCCCCTCTACAGGGCAAGTTCCACCTATAACAGTAGTTTGTAAAATGTCCTGTGGATGACGGTTAATTGGCTAAACTAAATAATTGGTCAACATCTAGTCACAGGCAGTTATTTTTGGTGTCAGAATCCATTTCAACGTCTTATCTCCACTTGGCAGCCTCCGTCCAAAACTGTCTTTTATAACCAGGCCAGCTAATTAGCGTGCTAGCCTGGTAATTCCACCATGTTTTTGTGCTAATGTTACAGTGGTGACGGAAAATGAGCTGACCAAAGTTATTTTTGACGATAACAATGTGCTTTTAGTGTGTTGATGATGCATTAAGGTGTTAAATTTTTCTCATGTAGCAGCTGGTTAGTTAGCTAGCTAGCTTGCAAATTCCACCATGCTATCATGCTACACTGGTTGCAGAAAATGCAGAGCAATACAGCTCTGGCAGTGCCTATTAACTTCATCACTCATTCACCCACTCTGTGATGGACAGACTAAAAAAAGTAACATGACATTTTAAAAATAAAATTGTTTATGTAAAAAAAAAAAAATGCATATTGGTTCCTAAAATCTCAAGTATATCAATATTGACTTTGGGGCGGCAGTAGCTCAGTCCATAGGGACTTTGGTTGGGAACCGGAGGGTCGCCTGTTCAAGTCCCCATCCGGACCAAAATATGGAGCGTGGACTGGTAGCTGGAGAGGTGCCAGTTCACCTCCTGGGCACTGCCGAGGTGCCCTTGAGCAAGGCACCGAACCCCCCAACCGCTCGGAGCGCCTGTCATGGGCAGCCCACTCTGACATCTCTCCACTTAGTGCATGTATAGGTCCTGTTTGTGCATGTGTGTGTTCGGGCCTGTGTGTAATTGACAACAGAGTGAAAAAATAGAATTTCCCCTCGGGGATTAATAAAGTATATAAAATTAAAAAAAAATAAATAAATAAAATTGGCCTCAAATAATTATTTTATAATATTCTGATAGAACTTTGAAGCAGACTTATAAAGTGCCAAACAGTAAAACTGAGTAAGCAAAAACAATTTCAAAATACAACACAGAATAAAACTGTAAAATAATATGTAGCCTAGTAGAGTTCACTAAAGTCTAACATCCTTTCATTTAGAGCAAAGACTACACATTCGGCTGTCGTCACAAACGGCAAACAAGGTGTCAAATCCACTCACAGTCAAACTAAAAACAAGTTTTATTTTCCATGTCCGTTATTTCTTAAAAGTTTTGGAAGTATTGGAAACTATAGTCTTCATATATGTTTAAATATACACTTGCTTGTACACATTTTTTTCCATATTCAGCTTAGCCATTAATTGGCATTAATTAAGTGGACGTCTACTAATTAAGCACTGTCTCTATTTTACACTTAATTTTCCTTTCTTGGAAACAATGTAGAAAATTTTGCAGTATTTACAATTCCGTGAGACGAAGGCAAAAGGTTCAGATTTATTTTTATAGCAACAGAGTCAATTATAAATTCAAAAAGTTAGCAATGTCTGCTGCAGATCATTTATTAGCTTGGTTTCAAATGCATGTATGAAAATAATGTTGCTGCTGCTTTATGCTAGATACAAAGTACAAATGTAAATGTATGCTGATTTTAATGATTATTTGATTTTAATGATAATTTGAACAGTATTTATTTTAATTTTCAAAATAAGTGCACGCTGTTGCAACACCAGCCATATTCTTTTACTAACGATGCCGATCTCTTTCTCCCTTTAATCAGCTGCCTTGTGAAGACCAGATCATCCTGTTGAAAGGCTGTTGCATGGAGATCATGTCACTGCGAGCTGCCGTTCGCTATGACCCAGAGAGCGAGACCCTCACGCTCAATGGCGAGATGGCAGTCACGCGAGGTCAGCTTAAGAACGGAGGCTTGGGAGTAGTCTCGGATGCCATTTTTGACCTTGGCGTGTCGCTGTCCTCCTTTAACTTGGATGACTCTGAGGTGGCTCTTCTACAGGCTGTCATCCTGCTTTCATCTGGTAAGCACCAAGCATCTGGACTCTCATCATGCACGCATACATGAGCTCGTTAAGTGGGTGCTGTCTTATTTCAGCTCGTTAAAGTTTTCTTTACATTACTGCCAACTATTTTCCAAAGCAATACCTTTAGTAGAGCAAAAACTGCACCAGTAGAGACCAGTGAAGCAGTGGTTTATTATTGTACTGTACACACAAAGAGGAAAGAACAAATTAAATCCTGTCCTGTACTTGTCCTCCCAAAAGCAACGTCATCTCCTCAGTGATGCTTTACTCCCTCCTGCACGGATTGTGTGAACAGTATTTCTTTGACATGAAATCCATACCAAACCACAGCTGAGTCAATTAATCACTATAATCATTGTGAGGAGCTTTGACCAGCTAGCTTGGATTTGGCTCCGGCACCATTTCTCTGTGTGACGCTCTGCATCTCATTGAAGATCAATACTGTTCTGCTGTGTGTTGCACATGTAGACATGACATGGGGTGAACCTGCCCATCTGTCTTGTCTTCTGACACACTAGGGTTCAATCAATACATCGTTTCCAGGGCTGAAAGGCTGATACTGAGTTATAATTACTATCTTTAAAGATGAAAAGTTGAAAAGAATTAAAGAAATTTGCCTTTTTTAACCAGAAAAGCCTAACTTTCCACTAATTGTTGGGATAATAGCAAACTGAGTATAATCTTTTTGGCTATTAAAACAATTCACAACACACTGTTTGGGTGATAGTTTTTATTCGGCTTCATTTTCTCTTCAAAATAAGTTTTTTTCTGTCTGTTTTTTTAACCTGTGTGAACCTGACTGCTTGTATTTCTTGCACCATTGGATGAAACACGATGAGCCATGTTGCTGTATTTGCAGCAAACCAATTAACCTGATTAGTACAGTGTTGTTATTATTCCTAATGGGACTAATTGTCTAACCCATGAAAATAAGATCCAAGGTAATATCCTTTAACCCTGACAGACCCGTGTTTCAGAAGATCAGGCAGGTTGTAAACAACCCCCCCCCCCCCCGGTTAGTCTGATTGACTGCTTGCACAATGTAGTGTGAAGTATTCATTTAATGAGCTGCACATTGCTTTTTCAACCTTTTATCTACTTCTCACAGTTAGCTTTGTACATATTGTCAATAGTGTTTACCATGCATTTTGTATATAGTGTTTTTAGTCATTGTTTTAATCATCTCAGTAGCCATGTTTCCATCAGCCTGTTTAGATACGCATCTAGAAGTATCGCATCGGAAAATTATGATGGAAACGCCAAAATTCGAATTTAAATCCCCTGATTTGCACAAACTAAAATACGCTGGCTTTAGCCAGGTTTTGGTTGATTCGAAAAAATGTTGATTCACAAAACAGGGGATGAAAACAGTTATGTTCGAATTAAGTCGTAGCGCACCTCTCTCCATGGTGATATCTACACTCCGGGTCGGGAAGGCGGTAATGCATTTACAAGCTGGTTGCCAACCGCCAGAAAACGTAGAAGAAGAAGAAAAATGCAAGACTTGTTTTGATTCCGGTTCTGCGGAAAACTCGCGCGAGTTTGTAGTTTTCACCAAAGTCTGTACATTTAATGGAAATGCACAGGATTCATATTTCTTTTAATGCACATTTCCCAATGATTCAAATCACTTCTGGATGGAAACATAGCTAACGTAACTGTCTGTAAAAAAGGAGATTAGCCAGTCTGCTAGCCTAACTGGCTAATAAAGTAAAGAAAAGCATCATCGGGTTGATGAAAAAGCCAGTCAGCTCTACGGAGATTTATTGCTCGCTTTCACAAGATGGTGTTCATCAGTCACTTTCATTTTTGGCAGCTCTTCTAAACACCAAGTGTGAAAAAGCGCAGTAACAACCTAGTGTTAGCTAAGCTCTAAAAATCAGGCTAAAGTTGGTGCTACACTGTGTGACAAGCTAATGTTGCTAACAGTTAGCTTAAGACACTGAGGTAATTATCAAAATGATTAAAAACATTACATAGCCAACAAAAACAAACAGAAAATACCATTTACCCTCTGACTGCAACTTGACTGACTCACGGAGGCATACAAATGTAAGGCGGCAATTCTCGTCTTTTGTAATTTTTCTAGTAATATCCAGTAATTTTCCAGATTGCGCATGTTTTCTCCTTGTGTGAGGGAGCAAAGTAACATCAGGTCATGTATTCCGTCACAGAGGATGCCAAAAAGTTAAAATATTTTACCTTTGATCAGCAACACCATTGCCGGTATTCTCTGCAAACCTCTAATTTTACTGTCCTGCTCCTGCCCACTAACATGTCATAGATCGTTAGCTTGTCGCCCAGTGTAGCACCAACGTTAGCCTGATTTTCAGAGCTTAGCTACATTAGGTCGTGATGGCTCTTTTTTTTACCATAGACATCTTTCTATATTTGTGTTTTTTACACTCGATGCCAGGAAGAGCTGCCAAAAATTTAAGTGAATATTGATGTGTGTGGAGCTGACCAATCTCCTCATACACGTAACTGTGCATTAGCAACTGCCTAATTTGAATGCCCTGGGAATGAGACTATGGATGTGTTGAAACCTGGATACAGCATTAGTGGCAGGACCCTGTTCATTCCTGTGAAAGTTACTAAGTGGCACATGAAGCCAAAATTGCTAGATGTCCATGGTACGAGATTACCCAGATGATTAGCACTGCTTATTATTGAGCCCATAGAGCAGGAGCACGAGAGACTTTTGGCCTCCGAGTGCCGTCGAGCAGCGGCTGACTTCCAATTTAGCACTCCAAATGTTATTGAACCGTGATGGTCAAAAAAATGTATCCACTGATTAATAGAAGTCTCTTTCCCATTTAAGTCTTTGGGAAAAAGTCTCTTTGGGCCCGGTGGCATTAAGTGACAGACCCCAGAAATTGCAGTACCTCTGTTTAGCCACTGCGAAAATTGGCTTCAAATCCCCGCACACTTCCTGGGGGTCTGAGTAAGGCTAAACTGTTGACAGGAAGTTAACAGGTGTGTAGTTTGTAAAACAGATATACATCTCTCTACATTATGCAAGTTTCACAACTTACCTCCGGGTTCAACTTTTACCTGCTGCGCTGAGATCTGAGCAATTACTTTGGTTATTATAACAAAGCTATTTTTATCCCTGCTGCACTCTAACAACAACATTGCCCGGTGTATTCTTGTCATCAGATCGGCCGGGCCTGAGTAGCGTGGAGCGAATTGAACGCTGCCAAGAGGAGTTCCTGCTGGCCTTTGAACATTACATCAACTACCGCAAACACAAAGTGGCGCATTTCTGGCCCAAGCTGCTAATGAAGGTGACGGACCTGCGGATGATCGGCGCCTGCCACGCCAGCCGATTCCTTCACATGAAAGTGGAGTGTCCCACCGAGTTATTCCCTCCTCTCTTCCTGGAGGTCTTCGAGGACTGACCAATGGATTCTAGTGGATGTGTGTGTGTGCATGTATGTGTGTGTGTGTAAGTATGTGTGTGCATACGTCAGCGCCTGGGCACCCTGGTGGTCTCAGGGGTGGAACCAGCAGAAGGCCCGTCACAATGAACTTTCTAATAGCACTACTGAGTGTCACTTCATTCCATAGTTTAGGAGTAGCTCTCTGGTCTAGTTTTGGATGGAACCATTCCTTACAGTGCGGGTACATGTGAATAGCATTTTGCTCTTTTTTTTTTTTTTGGTTTTGTTGTTAATGTTGTGGATATAACCTCTCACCTCGGATTTTACTATAGTTTTTTTTTTGTGTTGATGATTGTACAGTTGGCATAATGGTGATTTTATCAACACTTGTTCATTCATTAGAAACCATGCAAATGTTGTATTTTCCTTCCTTTATGTTGAAAAACTCAAAATGGCTGCTCACCTGACACACATAACAAGACATTGTTAGCGATCTGTTAGCCTTCCCCCCACCTGCTCGACTTTATTGGACCCATTTGTTGGTATATTACTATAGTCAGTCATCCTTATGGTGAGTGTCTGAACTGTTCAGTGCCTCGCCACCATACTGTGACCTGACCTTTTGACAGCAACACTCATTCTAATGGACGACAGCTCACGGGCCTTTGTACAGCTCTGGGTAGCTACACATCACAACGTGAGGTCGTAATGCGGCGTTCCAGAGATGTCGGAAAAATCTGAATCTTGCGACAGAATAGCGACTAAAGGCAAAACTCTGAGTAAGAGGCCAAGGCATGATTTTGCAGCGTCAACTTTTAAGATGTTATTCGACGTCACATACACACTGCTAACACTACACAACAATATTGTTTAATCCTCAAATAAGTGTGACCACAACACCTGCCTTTGTTATAAGTAGCCAGACATGGAGTTTTGAATTTGTTAGGGCTAGCAAACATTGCTAAATATCGTGGACAACTTTAGCTATTGCGCTATGACAGCATATTAGGGCCATGGAAAAACAAATAACCTTTTATTCACAAAAGAAAAGGGATGATATTTCGAAAAATACGTCAGATTTCTTAGATTTATTTTGGACGGTAGAGGAGATACCCACACACAAATGTAACACAAAAAAGGGTGCTCAAAGTGCAAAAAATGATAAAGAGTGAATAAAAACAGCAGCAGACGTTTCAGTCCTTGACTATCAACAGTGCTTTATCTCAGCCTGTTGATCTTCTTGTGGCTCTCTCGCCCCGTTACATTGGTGTGTATGTATCTCATCTATCGTCCTTTCTTGTTTGTCTGTCGTACCGATGCACCCAAGACAAACCTTTTCGTTGCCCCAAGCAGGCACAGTTTCACAGCAGCCCTAAGACACGTTTGAATTGTAAGTCGCTTAGATTTAAAGGGAACTTATTATCCATAGCATATCTTCCAGTTTTGAAATGATCAGGTCCACGCAAGAGTTTTAATGTGGTCCACCAAACAACTCCGCGTTCAGTCTGCTCGAAGATGTGTCACCGTCTCTACAAAGGAAAAGAAGCAAAACAGATACTCTTAAGGGCTGTTTCACGGATAATACGTCGCTGAGATAAGGAGAGGATGCTAATGGAATACGACAACTCGTATTCTAGGAAGTGTTTATTTTTGCAAATCACAAATGTCTGTGATGCACATATGTGACGTATTTCGGGCTTTTTATATAAATGGTAAATGGACTGCATTTATATCGTGCTTTTATAATCTTTGTGACCACTCAAAGCACTTTGCATCAACAATTTACACACACATTCAGAAGCAATTTAGGGTTCAGTATCTCGCCCAAGGACACTTTGACATGTCCACTGCAAGAGCCAGGGACTGATCCACTGACCTTCTAATTGGTTGACAGCTCTGCAATGATTAGTCAATAAGTTCATTGACAGGAAGATAATAATGGGTGTGGCTTTCTTAGGAAAAAAATCTGTAGTTCCAGCTTCTCGTTATTTTTTATATGTATTGTGTTATAGTGAATTGAATAACTTTGGCGGATTGGTCAGACAAATAAGCAATTTGATGACATCATCTTCACATTAGGAAACCGTGTTGGTTTTCTGACATTTTATAAAACAGTTACTCAAGAAAATAATCAGTGGGTTAATCAATAATAAAAAATAATAGTAGCCGTCCTTCAAGTATTGATCCATGGCCCTAACATGCTGTTGCAGCTGCATTTAAAGGGAGAAAAATCTGTATGTTTTTGAAGGAAATCTCACTTATGGCCATGTTTTTTCGTTGTTATTTTTACAAACAACAACAACAAACACAGAAAGGGTGAAACTCCAATCTCTCCGCTGGTGATTCAGACTTCCGACATCGAAAGGAAAGCAGCTGTAGCATTAAAATGAGCCTGCTCACCATCACCAGAGACTGGTCAGGACTAACTAAAGCACATAATGACACTGATGTCAGGAAAAGACAATCATAGAGTACTTGTTTTTTGTGTAACAATGCCACATGCTGTGCCAAAATCAAGTGAATGATGCCCTCCTTATCGAATCCCTGCTGGGCTTGACTGGTTATGCTAGTTAGTGCATGCCACTCGCACAGAGTCGTCCCTCTGACTTGTGTTTTAGTCCACGTTTGCAGCTTCTACAGTACAGCCGGTATGAGTTTTATGTGTTACATCTCGGCCATGTTGCCTCAATAGTCCCACATACAGTGATTTTAACCGTCTTTTTTTTTTTTTTTTTTTTTTCACACAACTCCCTGAAAACAGGGTACGTTGAAAGAGTGACGTCATGGTGCTATGGTGGGTTGGGGATATGGCTGGTTGAACTGTATTATTATGTACATGCAGAAATAGGCATTATCTGTTTGTATAACAGCCCACCACCTTCTTATGATGGCATGCATATACACTAACACACAAACATGCAGATACAGTACATGCATCTACCTATACACATACTGTACACATGCACATATTTGCATATATGCATGTGCCAAGATAAAATATGGGTCCGACCCCACCACTGTGACCAACCAGTGGGATTTGGAGGCCAGGTGAACACTGGCTGGCCCAAAACAGTATGATTCATCATCAGCACGGTACACTGAGAAAGCTGGTGAGATTGTGAAAACGTAGCGCTCTTTCCTTTCTTTTATTTTAGCAGGTTTGTCCTTTTTTTGTTGTCGTTCTGAAAGCCTCTCTGGTATTGTTGTTTGCAATGTGACAAACATTTGCTCTGTATATCTCGCTTTCTCAAGCTTCACACTACTCCTCAAAGCAGCTTGTGTTTTTTCTCCTCTTTTCTGTGAAGTGATGCCTTTTATCAAAGCAATAGACTTGCTGCAGTGTTTGAATGACCCGGACCTCACACACACACCTCGCAAACTGTACAGACTAAAAAAAATAAATGCACAGACAATCAGAGGGAGAGAGATGGATGGGGGAGTGGGCACCCGGGCTCAGGCGGCCCGGTTGGCCGCGCTGAGCCAGAGCCATTTGAAAAAAGTAACATTGGCCATGTTTACATGCACCCCTGTCGTCCATCGTCCTGTTGAGGTCATCTTCATGTTTGCAGGTACCTTTGATACCCTGCGACTGAGCCTGCCTGGTGCCATTATTAAACCAGTTAACAGAGTAGTTCTGGAAGAAAAAACACAGCAAAGATCAAAACAGTGTCACATTAGTTACGACTTACATCTGTTTCTGCATGATAGACTCATTGAACTCAAATAATGTGTGAATGTCAGTTACCACAGGCGGTGAAAAATAAATCTGGTCAGTTAACCGGGGCTGGTTGCACATTTGTTAGACTAATCTGTAGGTTTAAGTCAGACTTAATTCTCCTCTGAGGCTTGTCTGATGGCCCTTTTCAACCAAATACTCCCAGGAACTAAACTCAGGAACTGAAAAAGGACCTAAATGTCCCTTTGGTGCATTTGTTTTTGCATTTCCTTTGCATCTGAAGAACTGTGAGGGTTAGACTTGGAACTTACATTTGGTAAATTAGCCCTAAAAAGCATTAAAAAGTATTAAAAAGTGACAACTTTGTTTGAGACTTTCTTAACACAATGAGATGACAACATTGTTAGCTGGTTGTCTTTTGTAATGTACTGCTACGTGAATGGTGGATGCCCACTGAAACGTGTTAACTTGCTCTCTCTTGACTCGTTTTTTATAGACATTTAGACTAGTGTCGGGAACTCGGCTGCCAACAAGGTTTAAAGATATTCCCGTGCTATTCCAGCAACGACTGTTGCTTACTTTTAAGTCTGAATGAAAAGTGCTGCAGCAGTTTGGAGGCTTGTGCTTGTCGAGGTGGGACCAAGTCATTGTTTTGCAACTCCAAAGTCAAGACTCACAAGTCATAACCCAAGTCATAAACTTTGAGTTTCAAGTCTTAAACAAGTCATAATGGGCTCCTCACCAAATTTAATGCCATTTTAACAAAAGAGTATCATATAAATTTTGGGAAAATCATTTGTATTTATTTGTTAAACAAATTTCTGGAAATTCCATCTGTAATTTTCCACCCACACTGCAATTACTTTTACATAGACCATTGCTTCATTTTTGTACACAAATGAAATTATCTTAGGTATCACTTTTTGGCACTTGGTGATGTAGTGTTAATTCTTCATGGTTTTTCTTCTGCACCTTGATTGGTTGCTGTTGGATTTGTTCCAACAACGTGCATCATCTGGCGACTTCCGTATCGGCGGAAGGAAAACCATTAATGTTCTTTGTTTCAGGAAATGAAGGGGAACATACTTTTAAATCTTTGGGCTTGAAGGTATCAAATATTTTCAAGTCAGAAGGCTCAAGTTCAAGTTAAGTCACGAGTCAATGGTGTTAAAGTCCAAGTCAAGTTGCAAGTTATCAAATTTGTGACTCAAGTCTGACTCAGGTCCAAGGTAGTGACGTCAATAGTTAAACTCCACCCTGATAGCTGCAGGACCTTCAACACATTCTACCTCAGGAGCAGGGACAAACTGTGGCCCCGGAACCAAAACTGGGGCTACGTTTCTTCGGCCGTAATGCAAGTAAGGTTCCAGAGTTCCTGTAGATGTTTCTTGGTTCCTGCACAGGTAAAGGGCCACAATGAGAGTAAAGACGTTTGCACAAAATGGAGTGTTTTAAAAGCTGCATTGACTGACGTTTTTGCCACTAAGGAGCATAACTCCGCAGCAAGCTGACACACCTTGATGTACAGTAGGTTGTTGATGGCTAATGTGTTAGCAAACATTGTAAGCAGAAAGTTTGCGTTCAGTTAAAGTTGTGTTTCTGACCACCTGATGAATGTAAGGCAGATATTTTTACTCCTTTTAGCTCTAGTTTGGTGTCCACCAACTCCTGAGGAAAACTCTTTATCGGCTGGATTTTCGTCCTTCTTAACAGCTAGTTTCTAACTTTGCCTGTTTGA